AAGTTGTTCTAGCCACTGGTGCATAGGTGTCAAAGTAATCAATCCCTTCCTTTTGACTAAATCCTTTTTCTATCAATCTAGCCTTAAAAGTTTGTATAGTTCCATCAGTGTTGTATTTTCTTCTAAACACCCATTTACATTTTATTGGTTTTGATCCTGGAGGCAGGTCTATTAGTACCCATGTATTATTTGACATTATTGAATCCATTTCATCATTTATAGTTTCCTTCCAAAAGGCAACATCTCTAGAGGTCATGGCCTCACTGTAGGTTTTTGGATCATTTTTAATGTTTAGGACAATAGGTATCTTATTTAAAATCTTCTCCCTATCAGCCTCGACCAAAAATACAATTGACTGAGTAGAGATAAAATTTGAACCTAAGTGTTTCTTGTTCTTTGTCTTTGACTTCTTCTAAGTCCTATTGTAAGTGTTACAGTTGTGTCATTTCTTCTATCAGTCTCATTATTATCAATAGGTATTGAAATCTGAATTTCTCTGTCATTTTCTGTAGATTCAGAACATAGTTTATTTTCAAAGAATTCAACATCTCTAGTTTCAATTATTATGTTGGACTCTAAGTCTAGAAGCCTATAGGCCTTGCTATGTTCTGTATATCCAACAAACATACTTTTCTTAGCTCTGAGTCATAACTTTGTTCTTTTAGGATCTGAAACTCTATAATATGATAAGCACCCCCACTTTTAGATATGCTAAATTAGGCTTTCTTCCTGTCCATAATTCATATGGGCATTTGTTATTAACTCTAGAAACAATTCTGTTATGTAAATGGCAAGTTGTTAGGAGTGCTTCCCCACACAGGTTTAAGGGTGCATCAGCTTTTAACAACATGCAGTTTATTATTTCTGTAAGTGTTTTATTTTTCCTTTCAGCCATACCATTCTGTTGAGGGGTATAGGGAGCAGAACATTGATGTATTATTCTAAATTCTTCACAGAAAGAATTAAACTCATTTTTAAAGTATTCAGCACCCCTTATCACTTCTAAGGATTTTAGTTTTCTTTTCTAGTTGATTTTCAACTTCAGTCTTATATAGTTTAAACATGTCAAAGGCTTCATCCTTAGTTCTCATAAGATAGACATAGGTGTACCTAGAAAAGTCATCTATAAATGTTATGAAGTATCTCTTACCTCCTCTAGTTAATACACCATTGAGTTCACATATGTCAGAATGGATTAGTTCTAGAAGTTGAAAATTTCTCTCAATACTAGGGAAATGTTTCTTAGCCATTTTTGATTTTACACATATTTCACATTTTTCGGTTGATTCATTACTGTAAGCAATTATACCTAGTTTGCTCATGTTCTTTATGGATTTAAAATTCAAGTGTGCTAATCTATCATGCCATAAARAGAAARAATYRACAATATAAGYAGGAACTTTTCCTTCATTAATACTTAATTTGAACATACCATTACAACCATATCCCTTTCCAACAAACATCCCATTCTTGGATAGGATTAGTTTGTCGGATT